AGGCAAACGACACTTTATTCGACGCAGGTTTACTTGCTGATCAAAAATATAACATTTATTTTTAATTAAAAGACTATTTGGTACTGAAAAATTTGAAATACGATCAGGAGTTTTCTCACATTTTCTAGTTTATCAATGACGAAAATACTCTAAAATTAGTTTTTCTCTACATCTACGTTCATCTGAAGTGAAATTTAGTGCTCTACAAAATAGCATTCGTTTCATTCATTTTCACTCTGACTCATACCTTTGAATATAGATTTAAAACGGTTTATCTGAAAACTAAGATCGGGTCAACTCCAAAAATTATTTCTTAGAAAAATTTTATAAAATTGATCATGACACTTTGAATAGAAAATTCATAATCGGGCTGTTTTATGGAATGGCTCCAAGACATAAGAGTTTGGATTTCTAGGTGGTTCTGAACATTTCTTCAGATAAAATCATAATGAAAGGCATGCTGATACCTATGATAGGATTTTTGAACAAACTAGGAAAAATGACTTAAATTAATCTTCATTTTGCATGTTGCCTACAAAAAACATGAGAGTATTAGTTATAAACTTTTCCATTACCCTAATGGATTCATTTGCAGAGCAGCTGATAATGATGATGGATGAGATGATGGATGCCATGGAAGAAAATTATTCGAATTTGATATTGAATTCAAATCAGCACCGGGCAATGAAAAATCACCTAGAATCAAGCAATACAGTATAATCACTTTTAAATCTACATTATCCAATTCGTAATATGTATTTACCAGGTAGACGATTAAATCCAGAATCACTATGTGGTATATTCATAGTCTAAAAAAACGACTCAATGACAAAGATGATGAAGAATTAGATTATATTAATTAATTTACAGTATATTGATTTGAATTTTTTGCTGAATTTGGAATGATTGTTCTATTGTCATTTGATGTGTTAATAGATGCTTTATGTACATTCGGACTTGTACGAGATTCACTCGGAGAACTTTGTGGAGAATATGTTGACTGAGGAGATGGACTAGAACTAACATCAATACATCCATTACCAACAACTGAAAAATATATTTAAAAAATGATATAAATATAAGAGATAAAATAAAATACTTTTTGTACCGGAAAGATATGAATTATGATTATTATGAATACCATTCATTGATAAAGAACAATAAGATCCTTGGCTAGACATATGATTCTAAAAATTAATTCATTTATATATGACAGACGATTTCAAATGATACGAAGACGATTTAAAAGTATACGAAAATTTTTGTAGATGTTTGACGAAAGTTTTGTAAACATTAATTATTAGTTTCAAATATCTCTGCTCAAGTCCGCCTATCTATAGAAATATGCCTTCGTTCTTTTTGTTTGCGAAGCATATTTGATAACCATTCACGCACATGCTGTTAAATGAAGTGAATAAATGGTTTCACTATCGAAGGCATATTATCATTTTCATAACATTTCATTTTCATTAACTAAAACCAAGCAAAGAGGAGAAGTTTGATATTGTTACAGGCAAGACAATCTATAATCTACGCAGTCATGAACAAAATCTCAACGTCACAAAAAAACATCAAAAGAATGAAACAAATTTACTAGTTGAACTGCAACATGAATAGCTTCTCAGTAGTTAGCCAACTCTAAGCAGAACGATATTTGAAACTTTATACAGTTATTTTACACTTTATTTTTATCTAATCTACTAGTTCTACAATTAGTCAAATGAAAAATAATCGTATAATTCTAAAACCATCTTTCATATGCTATATTTACTTGAGCATAAGGACGTTTATTGGTAGTACTACTACTGTTATTGGTATTATCATCTGATTTTTCTTCACATTCATTTCCACTTTCCATGTCATTATCACTATCATTATTGTCTAAATGTTTAGATTCTTTTTTATTAAGAATCTTAATGAAAGAAGATCAGATAACAATTCACTTCTATATATATTTTCTAACTATTCTATACTTACTTGTACAATATCATTATTTGTTCTACTTTCATGTGGTTCATTGTATTCGGTATATTTGAGTAATATTTTATCCATATCGGTCGATGCATATTGAAATAACTTGTTACTACTATTAAAGATGATTAATGCTATTTCACAATCACATAATACACTCAATTCATAAGCTTTTTTCATTAAACCAAATTTACGTTTGGTAAATGTTACTTGACGATTACGTTCATCAGTTATTTTTGATATTTGAATTTTTTTTCGACCCATTCTTAAACAGAAGAAATAAACATGACAAAACTGAAAATTATTTTTATTCATCTGATTTGCTTATTTTCAAAAACACTCAATTCTGTCTTGAAGCATATGTTATAGACAATATTGACAAATAGTCGTAAGTGGTACCAATCATCATCGAAAACTCACGTTTTAATTCACGTTTTAACATGTAATACTTTCACAGAAGGTATTCCTAATCTGTAAAAAAAATGTCATTTTTAAGCTATTCAACTATATAAGAGAAGAGGAAAGATGTTGTAAAATATGTAATTACACTCATATTTGACAATCACGCTAATAAAAAGTAGAATTTATATTAATCGTCATTGCTAAATAAGTACTCTGATTATTAATAATAACAGGAAATTTTTATATCATAAAGTCATCAAAATTTAGCTCTCTCAACGTTAACGTAGATTATTCTTCGTCCAACAATTTTGTTTAGTCAAAAAAAGTCGCTAGATATTTAATAACTGTATAATTTCAATGTAGAATTATAGAATTTTTCACTGTTAATGAGATATCTGTTCCATTATAGCTTACCTTGTCTTGTATTTAACAGAAATTATTTTTTGTTAAAATATAATAGAAGAATTCAGTTTTTGTCTTATTTTCAAAGTAAATCATAAACAATTTTATTTATTCTTCTTCTTTCGAAAATTAAATAATAATAATTATATTTTTACCAAACATTTATCCTAATCTAAAATCAAAGAAAACAAACGAATATTTTTCCACAGTATATTTTACACATGATGTTATGAGGTTTCAGTGATTTTTTTTTTTATTTTCTACTTCTTCTGTACTGTTATTTTGATCTATTATGTCGTTGACATCAGACATAAACTTATATACGTAACGATGCATAAAAAATCATCAGTCAAGATGACATCGTGGAATCAAGAAAATAAAATATATGGTGAAAAAACACAAAGGTTAAACACACATGGTCAATCAATATCAGATGATATACATTCACTGTGAAGTACTGTCAGATTATAGTTAAAATTCTCTATACTTTAAATTCTAAGTACAAAATTGGCTCAATTACCGATAGATTTATACAGAAGAATCTTGAAAATTTTTAACCTTTTTTTTTATTTTATTATTATTATAAAATTGAAAGATTCGATTTTTTTGTTTCATTGAAAATTTCCTTTTTTTAATAACAACATCACATTGTAGAATAATAGAGTTTTTCATTAACTAAAAAAAAAAGTATGTGTATCGATCTTTCAGAATACATTGAATTTATGATCAAAATTATTTAGACTACTAGATAAAAGATTTTACATTATGTTGTTGTGTTAAGAAACTAAATTATAATGTAAAATAAATTTTATTCTTACTAGAAATTATTTTTCAGATTGAGCGAGAGCACAAAGTGTTATAACAATATGAGAATAGATGAAATTTTTCATTAAATCTAGCGAGTAAAATTTAAAACATTTTTTCTTACACTAAAATTGTAATCTAACTATCTTATCGAATGAAAAATCAAATCTGTACTACTTAAGAGAAATAGTCGACATTTCTGTCATTGATTACTTTTGTATCAAGGATTATCACTGTTGTAAAAGATAAAAATATTTTTTGCTGCTGTGTGCTGCTGTACAATGATAATTATTATTGTTATACATAGACAAAATAAATGTCAACGTCTTTCCGGTAAAAATATCTCAGCTGTTGTATTTTTCTATTTTAAAGAAATATGTGTGGTAATAATTACGGAAGGAACATATCATTGAAGTGCTTCTAAAGTTGACTACATGCAATATTCTAATTGCATATAAACGAAAAAGATTTTACATAAGTGAAGCTAGATGTTTGATACTCATAACAATCCTAACGCTTCAAATTTTAGATAGAGATCAAAAACAGTTACTGTTAGAGATAATATTATTCCATTTTTGTTTTTGTTCAGGAAAAATGGACACTTTTTCAATTATTGAATAAGAAATTAGTCTGAAAAATCTCTTGTGAAGCGTGACATCCTTATCTACACATCTTTAAAAAAACAAAAATAGGCATTCTTTTTCTACCTAGAAGAATTTGAAATAGCTACCTGACATGATAAGGTTTCATTTGTTTGTCTCAAATACATGCCATCACAGTGTATTTTTTTTTTTCTTTTTTAATCTGAACACAGAGCATGAAATACGATATCTAATCCACTTTTAACGTTATAAGAAACCTTAGTTAATTAGGCTCGTTAAAAATCACATATTGTATCAATAATCTTCTAGAAGTTTTTTTATTTATATAGTCTCTTGAGCGATTATCTGGATAAAATATTATTTCAATATTAACAAAAAAAAAAAAAAATGATTAAAAAATTTATATTTACAATTTTAAAACATGAACTGTAACAAGATTAAAGATCCAATAACTATGCGATATACAACTATTAGATCTCTAAGGATTTCTCATTTCTTTTCTACATGATGTATCTTTTCTAAAATTTGTTTTTTCAAAAGTATTTGAAATTTATTTTGACTATTAGAGGATATCACTAGAGATTAACAAGAATGTTTTAGTCACAAAACAAACAACGAAAGAGAATATTTTACTAATAAGAATACATATGTAAGCAAAAAAATTCAAATTTTAGCAATATAAAGCAGACTGAACTAATTTACAAAAATTATGATATTTTTAGATAAGACAGAAATACCCTGTTTCAACTCTATAAAAAAAAATCTCTGACATTATGTCAGGTTAAAAATATGTCATTCTTTTTTCTTTTCTTTTTTTTATTCGTCTGTTAAGTCTAATGCATTCACACAAGTTATTCTTATTACTACAAAAACAAATAAAAATCTTTGATATTTAAAGTGTTTAAATGCATTTGGTAGCCTAAACATAGCTTTGTATAATTTTATACAATAGTATTAAATTTTGTATAATATACACTCATTTAAACTTAAAAATTATATGAGTAATTAATTTGATTTGATTCAAATGAAACTTTCTTGCTTAATTTGTAAGAGAAATTTTTCTCATACTAATATGTTTAGTTAATTATTTCTCAACACACTGTTCGATGTCAGATATAAATCAGGTTTAATAGCGATGTATTCGACTAGATAAATCCGATTATCTCTTGCTAATAATAATTTTGTTAGTCCGCACGCAAAAAAACAAAAAAAAAAACAAATCAAGTTTCTTCATATAGATGAAGAAAACGTTTTAAATGAAACTCTCATAAAGATCATTGTTGCTAAAAGCTGTTACATACATACATATCTCATATATGACAGTGAGGCTGCTTAACTTTAATGTCTTATTTCAATTTCTACTTTTTATACGAATATAATTTTTAATGAGTAGAAACATGACGTCCTTTTTTCCTATTTATAAAACTATTCTTTAACATAAAAAAAAGAAAACGACTATTCCAGATATTTTTTCTTTTTCTTCTCCTTATATTTCTTACACACTCATTCATTTTCTTTTTTCTACACACAGACACACACACACACACACACAGTTTCTTCTTCCTAGAAGCGAGTGAAGAAAATCTGACACAGAAAAACTATGTAGATGAGATAACAGTTTATTAAATGTAATATGTATTGAAATAAAAATCAGAAAAATTGCTAATAATAAGCACTCGTGCATATATCCCGCTCACTCCACCCCAAGAGTCTTTCTTTTTTCTCAAAGTTTAATTTATCCGATTTCTCACTTTTTTTCTTTTTTTTTTTTTTTCTTTAAACAAAATAATAATAAGCACGTAGAGAGACATGCAAAACAACAAACATTCATTATTATTTGTCCAGTCTAGAGTTAAAACTCGGTGCGCTAGTAGCATACTACCATATATAGAACTTCTCAGCGTATTAAGAGCTAATAATTAAACAATTCACCTATGGAATATTATTTGAGTATATACAAAGAAAAAAAAAAAGCAATAGCATAATTACTAGTCGTTAACAGAAGAATCCTGTTTGTTCTTCTATGAACGAGAACATGTTTTTCATTACTTGATTCGATCAAACAAAATAATAATATATTATAGTTGCTAATACACGATACTTAGTTTTTTGTTCATCTGCTACCTTTTGATCAGAAATTGAATCTTTAGATTTAAAGTTCATACGGTAGATAAAAAAATGGTTCTTTAAAAATGTCATTTGAACAATAATAACAATCAAGCAACTGAAAATTAACTTCAATAAGTGCTGAAACGTCTATTGAAGAAATATAAACGTCTTTTTTTCATTTTTTTCTTTACGACTGATCCAATTTGTTTTAAAATTTAATAGACTAATAGTTCATGCTATAGATCTTTAAGAGTCTTACATTCATTCGGTAACAAATGATCAAAAACAAAAGAGAGAAGAAAATTTTTAATTATTTAAAAAATTCTATTAAAAAAATTTTTTTATTTAAAAACTGTTCATTTGCAGATGTAATAATTTCAAACGGTAACAAAGTTATGTAACTTTTAATGTGAATGTAGTAAAAATAAATGGAATATCTAAATTCTTTCTAGATTTTAATTGATGATTTATAAATTTATAAATATAAAACAAAAGCTTGATAGCAAAAGACTAATATTTTATCAGCACTATATAATGACCTATGCATAAGTTTTGCATAAAATGTCGAGCGCTGTTTCTTCATGTTTTCACTATTCTGGAGATTTCACTTAAGTCTGAACTACAAAATATGCATTAAACAAAATTGTCTCTCGCAAAACTTTATAAAAACTAAACATCACTAAAAATGTTCTGGTAAAATTTTACTAAAACATATCAAGAAAATCTTTTCACTGGTGTCAAAAATAATCACTTTTTACTGAAACTAAATACATGAAAAAATAGCCTGAGAAAAATTCTATCGATCTGATATCTTTAAAAAAATTTCTAGTTCCTTTTTAGTGGTTGTCTTTCTAAAAGTCGGCTTTTTCTAAAATCGAGATTTTGCATCTAACATTTAGAGCTTTCAGCAGAAGCATCACATAAAATAGGAAGTAAATGAGATTAGATTTTATTTTACATAAAATTGTTAAAAATTGAATGAAGATCAAGATTTAG